ACAGTGTACAGAAATAAAAACTTTGGCTGACAGTCAAATCACACAGAATCAACTTATTTACTGCTGGCTACAATTCTCATAGGCAAGGTATCCTTTTATATTGCAATTTTACAAATACAATGTTTCTCATACTAGATCATTTGACTATTCCTATGTCCATCCAATAAGAATAATTCTAGCCAGATTTTACGTTTGCAGAATTTTAACTTCCCTGGTTAAAGATGACTATCCCTAATCCAGATACGTCAATATCTCTGGGTAAAGTTCAGTATTCTAAATTTTGGCAAATTACCAGCGAATATTGTTTAATTAGTCCACCTGCAGGAATGACATTTTTATAACCATATATTCCTTAGCTAAATATGATTTCTAAGTTAGAAACCTGACCAACCTTCACTATGATATATTTCTGTTTTTAGTAAAATTAATGTAAAATAATTAAATAAAACCACTATAATTACCAGCTCTTGGTGGAATTTCTTTTTTTTTTTTTTTCAGGCTTAAAGATGTATCCCAAAAATGGTGAATGCAGGTAGGAGTATAGAGAATCGTGTGAAAATAGAAAAGTTTTCAGAATTCTGAATTCTAAAGTTAAGTGTTATTGGAAAAGATACAAAGAATTAGGTGTGTCCAGCTTCTGGCTCCAGATGTCAGATCTTAGATGTCCCACCCCCAGAGAGTGTCCTTGTCTCTTCTGTCCTTAATTTTTAAAGGAGAATTGAAGATTATGCTAGCACAGTGTACTAATAATCTTAATTTTAATAATGACAGGAGGTGAGTATTTTGCATAAACTTTCTTTACTAACTCCATAGCAGCAAAGAAAAAACCAGTAAAAACAAAGAACCAATCAGAGTGAGTGAAAGTATATATAAGTCCAGGCATAGCCAATCATTTCCTCTTGGTTAATGCGACATCACAAGTTCCAATTTAACAGATAACGTGTCCGATCCAACTAGAAAACGATAATGGAATTAAGCCTTCCCAGTAATCAATGCGACTTGCTAAACTGAAAGGAAAGAGAAAGTAGTATCAGTGATACGGAATGGACCGGATGAAACATATGTTTTATGAGTATTTATATAAACTCTATAATGATTTTGATTATCTATCGGTTATCATCTTCTAACGTCCATCTACCGTATTATTTACCCTCACAGTCTATATGTAGAAATTCATACCCGTACCTAGGGTTTAATTTGGTAACAATCACATATTCCCTTAAATCTAACTTACCTGAGACGAGGGTGGGAACATCAAGAAGAAGAAAGGGAGGGAAAATACTCGCCTCCTGTCATTATTAAAATTAAGATTATTACTACACTGCGCTAGCATAATCTTCAATTTTATAACATGACAGGAGGCTTCGTATTTTGCAATTTTAACGCTTAGGCAAAAGAGAAAATGCGGCATAGAAATAGAACATCCGGAAGGTCGATTCCCGGGACCAGTCTGCCGCTTGTAATATATCCAAAAGCGACACGCCTGCCAAAAAAGCTGACAACGCTGCTGCCCCTCTCACGGAGTGAGCTCCGAAGGATGGGTCCACTCCTGCGAGGGTGAGGAGCCATCTAATCCATCTGGATAATGTAGTGGTCGAGACTGGACCGTGAGGATTAACGTATGAAATCAATAATTGTCGGGAGGTTGGCTGGCGTAGTGCTTCCGTTGCCACCATGTATGTTCTCAAAGCCCTAACTACACATAGTTGGGGTTCTGACGTGAAGAATGGGTAGAAAAATGATGTTGAGTCTGTTTTGGTTCGCTTTGAGATTCGGAATGTGACCCCTTCCGGGCTGTAAATGCATCTGAGTCGAAAGCTCGTATGTCTGAGACTCGACGAAATGAGACTAGGCACAGTAAGAAGGTAAATTTCGCTGACAGTTGTCTTAAAGATAGTCGTTCATTCTGAGGCCATTCCTTCAGGAATGTAAGTACCTTCTCCACATCCCAGAGGTGTTGGTATTTGGGTGCTCGGGGTGTCTCAACTTGATGCCCTGTAGTACCGGCAAATCATAGGGTCTTGACCGATAGAACGTGGGCTGCTGATATAGCCGATCTGATGACATTGATGGTGCGGTATGATTTACCTTCTTCGAAGATGGAAGAAAGGAAATTAATTATCTCGGAAACAGGAGCTGTAAAGGGATCCAAGTCCCGTCCCACGCACCAACTGTTCCAAGTTCTCCATGCAGATAGGTAACTCTTTCTAGTCCCTGGGGGCCATGAGTCCCACAGCAGGTCCTTAGTTGTAGACGATAGTTCGTGGGTGTCCCATGCATCCCTGAAAGAGTCCAGGCTACCGGGGTTAATCGGTCGTCCAGAAGCATGGGATGTGGGTTCCCTGCTAGGTCCATGAGTAGATATGGGTCGGTCGGCAGGAGGATTGGATCGTTGCACGATAGTTCGAGAAGGTCCGTGAACCAGGGTTGACTCTGCCATAGTGGTGTCAGTAGTGTTAGCGTCACCTCTCGTCATCGGATGTGATGAAGTACTCTCGCAATCATTGCGAATGGAGGAAAGGCATACGCCCCTTGTCTGGGCCAGTGTTGGGTGAAGGCATCCACCGCTGCGCATTCTGGAACCGGGAGCCAGCTGTAAAATCTTGGGAGTTGATGGTTGTTGCGTGATGCAAAGAGGTCGAGGATGAATGGGCCTCTCCGTTCATTCAGATGGGCGAATATCTGTGTGTTTATTTGCCAGTCGCTGGCATCCCTCCAATGTCGTGAGTACCAGTCTGCGGTGAGGTTCGATTCCCCTGGTAGATGTTCGGCCCTGATCGAGATGTTGCGTGGGAGGCAATAGTCGAAGATCTTCTTCGTCAAATCGGCTAGTGTTTGGGAGCGAGTCCCTCCCAAATGGTTGATGTATCGTACTGCGGAGACGTTGTCCATCCGCAGTAGGATGCAGTAATTGGATTGTCCCTTCGCCAGGCTTCGAATGGCGAAGGATCCGGCCAATAGTTCAAGACAATTGATGTGCATGGTGAGGGCCTGATGGCCAGAAGCGGCTGGTGGCACGGCCCTGTTGCCGACCAGCCCTGCCAAAATACCTCTGAACACTTTTCGCATAGAGGTACGGGCTCTGTTCAAAGAAGTGAATACATTCACATGCTTGTTGAGCTCCTTCATGAATGCCTCTCCAAAAAGCTTGCCCTTTGCCTGCGGGGCTAATTCTTTCACCCCAAGGTATAACTCATAATTCATTGAATTCACCAGATATATTGCAAGTGTGTGTTGTTTCTCAGCTCTGTCTCTGAAAGACCACAAGAAAAGTGCACTTATCCTTTAACCAGTACTGATTGTAAAAATAACTATTTGGCTTTTCAAACAGGAAAATAACACACCACCCACGCAAAATAAGTGTTTCATAAAGACAGAATCTTTATGAATAATTGACTGTGTTGAGATTTCACTGAAATTCCAACCATATTAAGACAAAGTAGGGACTATTTTGTATTCGTAGTTTTTTTTCTTCTCATGACAGAGCTACCGCTCTCAAGCCTTGTCATTTCCCACAGCCATCACAAGTGAAGGCCGCAGGGAAATTAGTTATTTCTACGCAGGATCCTGCGGCCTTGGTGTAACCTCCATAAACCTTACTGCTGTACGTCGGCTCCTGGGAATGATGGTAACGGGGCAACTTCAGGAAAGTATAACTCACCTTTGCCTGCGACACCGGACCACTGCAGCAAGTTTGACATTAGGGGCCTTTCAAATTATGCAAAGTCCCCAGATAGTGACAGATCCACTTTAAAGGGACTCTCCAGTGCCAGGCACTGCAGGTACCCTCTCCCTTTCCAATCCCCGGTTGCTGAAGGGGTGAAAACCCCTTCAGTCACTTACCTGAGATCCCTGCCGATGTCCCCCGCCGTTGCTCCTCCTCTACATTACGTTGGCTGGTGGGTGAGACTGATCCCGCAGGTCGGCCGTGGAGACCTAATGCGCATGCACCGCAATTCCGGGCATGCGCATTAGAGCTCTCTATAGGAAAGCATTGAAAATGCTTTTCAATGCTTTCCTATGGGGAATTGAGCGACGCTGGAGGTCCTCACACAGCGTGACGCTCTAGCACAGGTTTTCTGTGCAATAATGCAGAAAGCGCCCTCTAGTGGCTGTCTGGTAGACAGCCACTTGAGGAGGAGTTAAAGGGCCACTACAGGCACCCAGACCACTTCAGCTTAATGAAGTGGTCTGGGTGCCAGGTCCAGCTAGGTTTAACCCTTTTTGCACTAAACATAGCAGTTTCATAGAAACTGCTATGTTTACCTATGGGTTAATCCAGCCTCTAGTGGCTGTCTCATTGATTTTCACAGAGAGAAGACACCAGCGTCCATAGGAAAAAGCATTGATAGTGCTTTCCTATGAGACTGGCTGAATGGGCGCACAGCTCTTGCCGCACATGCGCATTCAGCCGATGACGTAGGGAGGAGAGTCCTAGCGCCGAGGGAGCCCGGCGCTGGAAAAAAGGTAAGGGATTAACCCCTTCCTCCCCCTTCAGCGGGACCCTGAGGGTGGGGGCACTATAGTGGTCCTTTAACCCTGCAAGGTAATTATTGCAGTTTATAAAAAAACTGCAATAATTACAGTTGCAGGGTTAAGAGTAGTGGGATTTGGCACCCAGACCACTCCAATGGGCAGAAGTGGTCTGGGTGCTTAGAGTGTCCCTTTAACTGCTGTACCATCTCAGTTTATTGTCTAGACACCAACAAGGTTTCACCCATTGTCTCCCAGACACATCATAAGTCTATGGTGGTACCTCTACCGAGTGAATAATTCCACACACCCACCACACACATCACAGTGACTGGCAGGGTTTTCACTAGATACTATCTCCCTCCAATAACTCCATTGTGAATGCTCTGCCTCCCTCTCTGGACTTTTTTGTTTGTTTGCATTCAATAAAGTTTCTTGGGGGGGAAAAAAAAAAAACCAAAACAAAACTTTGTGTCCCTTTCAATAAAGTTTGTTTGATAAAGTAACACGTATCCCATAACGTCTGTCGCGAGAGTTGGTGATGATGACGGGCTGTGTAGGCGTTTCCCAGAGGAGGCGGTGGGCGGGGCCTTCGCCGGGTAACGGCAGTCGGTGGTTCGCTGGTTGCGTGCCGGGGGCGGTGTGTGTGGTGCCGGTTCCCGGGGATTCCCGGTGAGGAGGACCAGCAGTGACCATGGCCGGGCAGCAGTTCCAGTACGACGATAGCGGCAACACGTTTTTCTACTTCCTGACCTCCTTCGTGGGTCTGATCGTCATCCCGGCCACATATTACCTATGGCCCCGAGACCAGAACTCGGGTAAGCGAGGAGCGGGCTGGGCTGGGAGACTGCGAGCACTCAGAGCACCTCATACTGAGCTGGAGCCCTATAGCAACACACAGCACCAGTACATATGGCACATACCTGTATAGAGAGAGAGAGGGGGGGGCAGGCTATAATATCAGGAGGTTATAATATCAGAGGGGGGGGGCGGTGTCATGCAATATCGAGGGGCGGGCTATAGGCAGGTTATGAGAAGAGGGGGGCAGGTTATAATATCAGAGAGAGGGGGGCAGGCTATACCATCAGAGAGAGGGGGGGGGCAGGTTATGCAATATCAGAGAGAGTGGGGGGGCAGGTTATAACATCAGAGAGAGGGGGGGGCAGGCTGGCAGTCACCAGAGAGAGGGGGGGGCAGGTTATAATATCAGAGAGAGGGGGGGGCAGGTTATAAATACCAGAGAGAGGGGCAGGCTATACATCAGAGAGAGGGGGGGCAGGCTATAATACCAGAGAGAGGGGGGGCAGGCTATAACACTCAGAGAGAGGGGGCAGGTTATAATATCAGAGAGAGGGGGGGCAGGTTATACCATCAGAGAGGGGGGGCAGGTTATAATATCAGAGAGAGGGGGGGGCAGGTTATGCACACGAGGAGGGTGCTGCAATACTGAGAGAGGGGGGGCAGGTTATAACATCAAAGAGAGAGGGGGGGGGCAGGTTATAAATATCAGAGAGAGGGGGCGGCTATACCATCAGAGAGAGAGGGGGGCAGTTATAATATCAGAGAGAGGGGGGTGCTATAATATCAGAGAGAGAGGGGGGCAGGTTAATACATCAGAGAGGGGGGGGCAGGTTATATACACATCAGAGAGGGGGGGGCAGGTTATACATCAGAGAGAGGGGGGCAAGGTTATAAATATCAGAGGGGGGGCAGGCTTATAGCCATCAGAGAGAGGGGCAGGTTATAACAATATCAGAGAGGGGCAGGTTATAATATCAGAGAGAGGGGCAGGTTGGTAATATCAGAGAGAGGGGGGGGCAGGTTATAATATCAGAGAGAGGGGGGGCAGGTTATAATATCAGAGAGAGGGGGGGGCAGGTTATAATATCAGAGAGAGGGGGGGCAGGTTATAATATCAGAGAGAGGGGGGGGCAGGTTATAATATCGGGGGCAGGTTATAATATCAGAGGGGGGCGGGGTTGTAATAATATATCGTGCCCCCCCATGATATTATAACCCACATTATATTATAATCTGCCCTCCATGATCTATCGTGCCCCCCATGATGTTATGTGGGTTATAATATCATGGGGGCACGTTATAATATTATGTGGGTTATAATGTCATAAGGTAGTAGGTTATAATATCATGGAGGGTAGGTTATAATATGGTGTGGGTTATAATATTAGGGGGGCAGTTTATAATATGGTGTGTTATAATATCATAGGAGTAGGTTATAATATAATGGGTGTACATAATGGGATATATCAGAATATAATGGAGGTGGAATAACATAATGGGATGTGTAATAATATAATGAAGGTATATAATCCTTTTAATAGTGGAATATACATAATATGGATTTGGAAATCTATCACAGCTGTGCAGGGTTTGGAGTTGTGTTGCTTTTTTATGTTCATTTTAAAACTGATAAAGCTTACAGAATACTCACCTTTCACACAAATGCTATTGTTCACTACATTTCCTAGAAGAATGAATGTTTCAGCATCCTGGGAAATGTAGTCTACAACAGCAAGTGCAAAGGTTAAGCACCCTCTGCATTGAGATCTCAGTATAGACATGCAAGGCACTGGGGCTAACTATCTGCCCCCACATTGCATGACATCATTTTAGCTTCTGCCATTAAGTTGCAAAGCGCTTCCCTGGATTCTGCACCACCCACATATCATTGATAAAAGGAATGCATACTGTAATAAGAATGTAAAAACCAACAATATATGCTCAATATTTATCTACTATTAACAACCAGGCATTAGGTAACAGGATCTTGCATTTTTAGGGATGAATTATTTGTTTTGCTCCTTTAAGAAAATGTACTATGACTAGACAACACCTAGGAGTCTGTAATACTTTGTTGTATTCTTACCTGCAAAAGTATGATTAACAAACTTTGACACTTGTTTGTCCAGTTACAGTATTGTGAATTTGAACAATTTTGTTTTGTGGCTTTGTCATTGTAAGAGTTTCATCATTCTTCATTTTGTGTCTGCTAACCTGCAATTAATATTAAGATAGAAATTATGTAGTTTTACTCAAATAATAGTAATTTAAAAGAAAAATCTATCATGTTGCTGAGACCTAAATATTGACATTTTCCCTATTGTAAAAATACATTTCCACATTTTGACCAAGATAAGTCTTGTATGTGCTGCTTCCTTATTGAAAACTGGGAAATATGCTAGCAAGTAATTTAAAATCATCAATGAGAATTATAGTATTTTCAAAGGCTTGTTTTAAATAAAACTTTCTACACTTATTTATAAGGAATACGTTTTTGGGGAAATCATTTTTGAATAGCTATGCAAATCAATGTGCCAAATGCTTATGGAGATTGTAATATTCATGTGTAAAATAAGTAAACATATAGTTGTCCATGTGACAATCCTTGTTCAGCAATATCTAATCTAATATTTTTAACCCCTTTTTAATATTTTTTTTTACCAATTGGCGCTAGGTTGAAGATGACAGACTTCCTTTTAAGTGCATGATGGGTGAATAATATATTGATAACTTATAAAAAACAATAAGATAGAAAGGATACTCACCTGAACATTATTTGTGACTCATAGATTCTCCAGGAAACTGGAAGTGACTGAACTTTCTTTGCCACTCCTAGCTCTAAAAGGGGACTCTGTATTATTTCAGAAAAGCCAAGGATGTGTAGATCAGCAATCCATTCTTGCAGCGTTGCATCTGATAGTTTCCACACACTTTATTTTTTTTTTCTAATGTTATTATTGCTTTATGCTTCAGTCTAACTATGTGTGGCTTTAACTACATCATATACTAAGGCAACTTTCAGTCACTCAAATGAGATCTGTCCCATGCAAAATAAAGGCGTTGTGTAAGATAATGCCTATATATGCAACAGGAACACACCACAGACCGGAGGACTGCTATATCTCAATCGTTTCTTGATTCCTTTGCAGTCTGCAGATTTGAAGCCTTTGAGAAATTCAGAAGCAAATGCGATGTTTTTATTGCAGTGTTAACCAGCCTCAGTAAAACTCCACTATTTCAATCAGGTGTTCTTATAGAGAACGCCTGATTGGCACAGAGCAGTGTTTTGCAGTGCTTGTACATTAGCCCCCAATGCATTCATTGCAGACTTGATGATGTTAGCTCGGATTCCGGTGCTGCAATGAAGAAAGGGTAAGTCAGAACACCTTCCTCCTTCACAGGTGGGGTAGCCAGCAACCTAACTAGTTTTCATCTAAAAAAAAATATTGAGATATTCATATTTTCCTATAATCCTTACATTTCTCACAGTCTTGGCTAGAAGGAACAATGTGCTTACCTGACAGGACGTATCTGCATGATGCATCAACATATGAACTTTAAGTACCCCTCAAAGAATGCACTAATGAGGCAGTGTTAGTGAGCAATGAATGAGAAATGCATGCTATATGCAGGGCTTAATATTTGCAGTCTTTATACTAGTAACCAGGCCTTAAACCTTCTCCCCATTGCATGGGATTGGTATACTCACTGGGGATGAATTTCTACATGCAAGGGCTAGATTTACACTGGATAATGGCAAGTGATCAATGGAAATTTTGGGTCTTGCTACATGTATATTCAGATGAGCTGAAGATTTTAATTTTTTTTTTTATTCTTGATGCCATACTAAAATCTTTGTTCTTTATAGACCTATTTTGATGTCACATTATTAAGACTTCCCTTAAAAAAAAAAATAAAGAACACCATAACCACTACAACCCATTGTAATGGTCACGGTGCTACTAGACAAAGGACATCATCTTCCAGTCTGTGTCAAACCATGTTTGAATGGTGGCCTGGATCTTCAGCTGACACTCACAGCCTATTACTGGCAGGGGACGATTCTCATAATCTCTTGGCACAATATCCACTGCAACAGGCTGTAGTGGTTATAGAACGTAGACTGACCCATTGACATTCTTCCAAAGTTTGTCATATGTACAGTCATCTTGTAGTTATAACAATTCACCATTATAAAATCTACAGTGCTTCGCTAATATTCCTATACTGATTTGTTGACCATATTAGTGGAAGATGTCTCTACAAATGTCTTTGAATATTTGTAAAAAAATTTTTGTTAGGCATAGTTAACTATATTTTCAGTTAAAATTTATAAGAGCATGGGCGGCAGCCCAGGAGTAGTGGGAGTTTGAGCGCAGGACTTATTTTTGTGTATTTGCTTATGTATAACACAGCCGTGTTACGATGCTGCCGCTTACCCCATGTGTTCCCTACTAACGGTTTATAAGTATGAAGGAGTTAAGAAAAATACCCCTCTCTTTCTCATTAGAGAGATTTTATTTTTTAGCTGAAGGAAGCAAGGTGAATTGTTAGTGTAGGACTCACCTAAGAGGTTTGCCTTGACGTGGCAGGTGAGCTTACACTAGTAGCATAGGACTCTTAAGTTTTAAGCCCTTATACATCTATTGGGTAAAATTACCTTCTATTTTTACTGTAAAATATATAATTCATTTGCATTCCATAATAATCTTTGTTTTTGTTTTTGGCTTTCTGGGTGTATATTCATTTGTATTAATGTGCTGGTATAAGTCTTGATTTCTGATGATCATACCTTGACCAAATGGTTCATTAGAATAATTTTGTTCTCTCCATCATAGTTTTTGTTTTTCTACTGTCCATGTACTCCATTTTTTATTTGCATTTTATCGAACCAATTGTTACATGAACACACATTTATTTATCTTGCGAGATCCCTGATTTTATGTTGTGTTTGCACATTTGTTATGCCTTTTTTTTAACCCATTTTAAACCTTCACAAAAAATATATATATAACGTTTCTATCAGGGTGCTGTTTAGTGGTTTGCCCTGTAAAAAAAAACACCAGAGGTGCTGCACCAGCAGGGTCAGCAACCTGATGTTTTAAAGGTGCTTAGAGTTATCCTGGCGGATCATTGGATTTGGGAAGTAATTAGTTCTGAGAAGTTAACAAAAGTAGACATATCTCTGGTCTGTAGAAGTTTGGAAAAATAATTGTCAAGGCATTATAGAAAGACATTTAAGATTTGGTTTTGAGTTGTCCTTTATTTGTGCAGATGTTAGGGAGCTAGTAAACTGTCACAGTACTTGTCTGCAAGTGATTTAAGAAATTAAGATTTAACATTTTAATTTCATTTGTTACCGAATACATGTTCATTGTACCTTTTTATTGAAGTTTCCTCATTTTATTGTATTTACTGTATGGGAACCACCGTGATTTTGGTGACCCTCCAGTTCATTGAAATAAGGAATTATAGAAATAACTGAATTCTCATTGCAGTACTTAATTCAAGATTATTACTTTTAATATATTGGGAAACAGTTCAAATACAAGATCTGCTTGTTTGAGCTAGTTATAAATGTATTTTACAAACTGCCCTGTATGTGCTGTCATAGCATGACTGGAGGAATAAAGGTCATACCCCAAATAATGTATACTCATTAGATTGAGCATAAGATTTTATCTATACATTGTACTCACGGTGTGCTGGCAAATGTATAGATTTCAAAAAAATCTAATTGTATAGGTTTGAAAAAAGTATTTTTTTTTTTTCAGCTGTCAGTCAAGCCTCTGTGTGCCGCGATATTGACTGACAAAGTGAGTTAATCTTTATATTTCACATTGAATACACCATGTATCGTTATGATATATGGTGTATTCAATGTATATAGGGACAATTCCAGGTAAGTTGATTTTCTCTTATCAGGTTCACCTTAAACATTTTTGTTCTCTAGAAATTTTGTGCTCTGTTACACTCCAGATTTTCCAGAGTTTCATCTAACGCTTGTTTATAATTATAATGTATTGTTTTCTTCCTTTTTAATTTTTAGAGCAAATTCGGTTGAAAAACATACGGCATATTTATAGAAGTTGTTTGTGGTACCAGCTTAAGTCAATCAAGCCACAGCAAAGTATTGTCCCTAAAATAAAGTAAGTAACCCTATTTCAACTATTTTTGTATGTGTTCCTCTCCACCCCACCCCCAGTGTTAAAGCGGCACTGTCACTGTTTGCAGAATTTGCTGGTGATACAGGGGGGTGTAGGTAAAGGTGAGATTTACTTACCTGAACCTGTCCCTTGCGTGCATGTCCTCTTTATCTCCTGGAAAGTACAGCATTGAGGTCTTTTGAGAAGAAAACGCCAATTGCACTGGTAACGGCTGTCTGAATTGACACTGTAGCTTCTCCCAGTGTCTGAGAAAGTCAGACGGAGGAAATATACTGAGACAAGTTAGTCTTTTCTATCGTTACAAAATAGACGGGGGGGTGGGGGAGGAGGAGGAGTGCCACTTTAATATTGGAGCTAATGGAGAAAGTTACTATTGCAAGTTTACAGCAGTTGTCAGCAGCAGGATTTTAAAAATTGCTTGACTTACGTTTAATGCTTATTATCCCCATGTCTTATGGATGACCTTTTTAACCTAAACTGCATATGTCCAATGAAAATACTTATTTCTTCTCTTAATGTTTTTTTTTTTTTTTAAATAGGAAAATTGTTCTGCTAATCGGATGGGCATTATTTCTTTTTCTTGCCTACAAAGTTTCTAAAACTGACAGAGAATACCAAGAATACAACCCTTATGAAGTTTTAAGCTTGGATCCCGTAAGTTTTTTTTATTTTTTAAAATTCCCATATCCTTACAGTTATATCATCTGTTTGCTAAATTGTCAAATGTTTAAAGAAAGAAGAAAATGTTTTACCCCATGCCTACTCTAATCTAATCTATGGATTTTCTGAGATAAGGTGCGTTGTTTATAAATAGATTCTAATATTTACAGTAATTGGCATGGAAACAAATGAAATGCTTCAGTGCATTATGTAGATATGTTTATTAGATTTTATAGACATAAAAAAAAAAAACACTTCAATGCTTTTTTGCATAAACTGCATATTCAAGGATATAATTGATATGTATGTGAACATGTTGTTCCAAGGTGAAATCTAAATGCCATTATGGAGTCGAGGCGGATCCATAATTGGAAATGGCTACAATAGTTTTTTTTTGTTTGCCTTCTTTTGGATAAACAGCATAAAAGAATGGATAACTCTGCTAAACCCAATTCTTATATTAATTTCTATTTTAACGCAGACCTTATATGCCTGCAAAAGATCCCAAATGTTTGTGTGCAGTGCTTGCCTACTTGATGAGTAGGTGTTTTAGTATGCACAACATAGCTGGATATTGAAATCTACACTTGCCATTAGCTATTGGCGAGTGAATATGTAACCCTCATGAGTAGGTATTTACCCTTGGTACGTGTACTATGCATTCTCCAGGCAGGCAGTGACGAGTAACTTTTAAGGCCTGGCTAATAACATAGTACTTGTAATTTTAAGCATTAAATAAGTTTGACATTCCATTTTGATAAAGGCTATATAAAGGTTGCTTTCTTATGTCATTGGTATTTAATGGGATTAATTGTGTGGGTCTGCTTTTACAACTGCCTTGTAGCTTTTGGACTGTACTCCTGGTTTCTTTCTTTTTTTTTATTCTCTCTATTCTTGTTTTATTAGTAAGGGAGAACTCTAAGCACCATGACCAGTACAGTCCACTGTAGTTTTTATGGTGCTGAAAGTCCCTTGGCACCATCCAGTAGTCAACTGTTCATGAATAGTCCGCTGCCGATTCTGCTTCTGCTCTGGGCTGATACGCCAAAGCAGAAATTTATATGTTCGCATTATTATAGCAAGCCCGTACCAAGTTTAGACATTTATTGGATGAGAGCATCAGCTTCTAGCCCTCAACCAATTAATAATGTCTAAACATGGTATGAGTCAGTATGATTCATTATAATGTGGAAGTAGGAACTACTTTAATATACCAGCTCAGGCTGTAAGACACATTTGCACCCGATAGAGCCAGGCAAGAGTACAACTGCCAGCAGTTTGACAGTTAATTATCATAATGGTTTCAATACCTATACAGAGGTTATGGTGCTACGGTTTGCTTTTCTTTTATACAATTAATTATTTATTTACATCAATGTGAAAATGATTTTGAGGAGATCTTCTTTTGACAAAGTAATTTATTCAAGAAGAAGAGGTGTTCCTGCTTTAATGGTTTTTCTTTTTTTTTTTTTTTTTTGTTCTTTTTTTAACCAAGAATGATTATTAAAGTTAACACTTTATTTTTTTTCCTGCTCTTCCTCTTTTAAAAAGGCCGCAACTGTTTCGGAAATTAAAAAACAATATCGTCTGCTGTCTTTGAAATTTCACCCAGACAAAGGAGGAGATGAAGTGATGTTTATGAGGATAGCAAAGGCTTATGCAGCGTAAGTTCTTTACATTGCATTCACTAAGTAATCATTTGGGGGGGGGGGGTGCTATTGACCAAATCGCTGTTGTAGAAGTAATTGAATATCCACTAATTTAGACTGTACATCTCTGTATATTTTGTTTTTTATATATATAATTTTTTTTTTTGGTGTGTGCAGATCTGTGTTTAGCGATTGTATTGTCTACCCACTATTTTAATGTCATAGGGATTTTTATTCACAGTTTTTCCCTACCATAACTTTCCTGGTTTGTGCTCCGCAATGAACGCCAAGCCTCGATAGCAAGCCAGTAACCAACCTCATGCTGATGAATTGCATTAACAACGAAACAACTGTCCATGTGTAGTTCACTGTCTTTGTATCTCTTCCTGAGCGGTGTTTCAAAACTTCAAGGAATCCATGTTTAAATTTGATTTTGTTGACCTAATTTGCATATGCCCACCTAGAAGTAACCCAAGGTATTGCAAATGAGGTATGTCCAGTCTCTTTAAGAAGCCACTTAGTCACAAACACTGTCCAAAATTGGCGTTCAAATTAGTTTTTCATTTTTTTGCATTTTTCACACACAAATAAATATTAACACTTACTTTGGCCAGTGTTTGTGACTAAGTGGCTACTAAAAAAGACTGGATATACCCCATTTGCAATACCTTGGGTTCTCTACTTTTGCAAATGGTATGCCATCATGGGGGTAATTCTTATTCCTGGGCTACCATACGGTCTCAAAGGCAATGTAACCAATCCGGCGAATTTCAATGTGAGAAAAATGTAACATGCTATATTTGACCCTATAACTTTTCAAAACACTATAAAACCTGTACATAGGCGCTACTGTTTTACATGTGAGACATCACTGAATACAAATATGTGTACTATATTGCAGTAAAAGCAAATCGTATTATGACATTCAAAGTTAAAATGTCATGCAGAACTAAAAAAAAATCATTTTTAATTTCTCCCTTTTTAAATATATTTTATTCATATTAAATTATGATTCATAGCTAAATATTTGATAAATGAAAGCCCTATTTCTCTTGAATAAAATTAAATAAGTGTGGGTGCACTTAATATAAAAGAGGTGAATTACGGTTGAACAGACATATAGTCAAATTCCAGGTTTTGTTTACGTTTAATATTGATCAAAACTTTTATATTTGGCTCAGGCCTTAAGGTGTTAACAATGTATTGACTAACGTATTTATTTAAGCATTCTATGACCCTAGACTTGTTTTAATTTTGGTTTTGTCCTGTTCATTTAGTATTTAGTATCTAAAGTGGTCATGTCACCCCAAAATAAACAAAACCATTTTGAACGTTTCATGAAAATAAAATCTTAATAAAATGCTCATCATGGCAGTGTTGGCATTTCTATGAAATTTCAATGCAGTCAAAAGGTATTCTAAGACAAAGCAGAAACTTCTTGACAAAAGGTGGAGCTACAGTCATTATTTCCTACAGCAATCGCTATTATTGGCTGTGATTTTATAAAGCACTGTTTTACTCAGTGAGACAATAACTAGGAATGTTCCTGCGCTCTCACAGGATCCTCCTCAGATATCAGTGTTTTGCTCTTGTGGTCTGCGGGGAACAGCATCAGTTGAATATAGCTCTTAGACGTATTCATTCAGTTACAGATAAATTAGTATCCCCCCACCTTGCTGCTTAGCCCCTCTGTGTCTCATTCCCTCACACCTAGCCCGTCATGTGTCCTCTTCCCCACCCCCCCCAAGTCCCTCCTTGTTTCTCATTCCCCACCAAGCAAGCCCATTCATGTGTCCCATCCCCTCAAGCCTCTCAGTGTCTCCATTTATTCTTTGAGAAAGGACTTGTCTGAAACTTTCTATGCAAACTTCATTAAATGGCATAATGATCTTCTTTGCATCTTAGCAATACCTCTGCGGCTCTGCATATTTGTTCTTGCATATCCTCTGTCCCCAAATGCCAGTGACAAAATGGTGGAGGTGGAGCGATGGCTGAGGCAGGCAGTGCTATGCCAAGAGCTTCAACTGGATCCATTTATATCCTCATTTCTATGCCCTCAGGTTTGTTTGTCCTCTCTGGATATTACAGATAGGATTTCCCTGCCAGTCTGTGACAAATTCACTGTTCTTCAGGCGACTGCATTTGATTTATCCTTTTGCAGGATCTCAAACAGTGCATAGCCTTGATGTGGGCCGAATCAGGAATGTGCTGATGTCACTGATTTCATGCAGCTTGAGCTCCCAGCAGAGGAAAGAATAAAATGTTGCTTCTGCTTGATAAAATAATAGATAATCATATAGCGTGTTTGCTTCCTCTCTACAAAAATCTAAAGCTTGATTTCATCTTGTAATAGTATGCTGAGATTTTCTGTACAGATCCATTGTCAGGAATAGGTTTGTACACATCGGATCTCAAGATACTACAGTTGGGCAGAATGTTTATGGGTTTCCCTGGTAAGCCAAAAAACAAAAGTGTTTAATTGTGCAAGCAGTCTAAAAAAGTCACAGCAAGAGGAAGAAAATGGCCTTTTAACTTGCTGAAATGTCATGTCTTCTTCCTCAGGGGTATTCTAACTGCAAGATAACTTCTAGTGCTGGCTTAAACACTACAGGTTTATATTTTAGGTAGTGTAGTTTATTGCATTTGTTTGAATGAGGCCCTCTGTGCAATTACATTTTTAATTTCCTATTGCTTGGATTTCCTCAGTAAGTATTTTGGTTTCCTCAGTTTCTGTTTGAAGCTGTGACGCTATTTTAAAATAATTATAGTCCTTTTTTTTCAGACTATACTCTATTATAGTAAGTTTAGAAAAATGGTGTGTTTACTTTTTCATGTAGCGACTGAAGCAACTTTGATATTATTGTTATGCATTTGTTTGTAATTTCATTATAACTTAATGGTGAGACATTCTAAGTACCAAAGTCACTTCATTTTAATGTTAGGTAGAAAAATAACTAATCACAATAATAACTGTCAGTTAATGAGATCTGTCTCTTTAATTAGCTCACAGAACGATCACCGTGCCAGGGAGTCCTTCTGTGTGTTTTGATGATTTGCTTACTTGTGAGGCTCCCAGCAATAGCCTGGTTCATGCCAATAGAAATGCTAACCAGCCAGCTACACAAGTTGCCTGCAGCATTGGCTGCAATAGCAGTTTGATGCCTGTTGCAACTTTAGATCCTGTGTTGCTGAACTGCTTCACGTCTGACTCTTGGCGGCCCCAATGCTTTCCTATGAGAATAGCCATCTGACTACAATTGGATAGATCTGATGGTGGTGACAATGCAATTTAATGTTGAACTCTGTAGCCTTTGTGGTTAAGTGATTTTGCTCAGCTGATTATTTTCACTTTTGGTTGTTTTGGGGAATAGAAAATCCTCAAAGTGCTGATTTGTTCATTATATTTTTTTTACTTCTATTTTTTTTTTTTTTTAAGCTTGACAGATGAACAGTCCAGAAAGAACTGGCAAGAGTATGGCAATCCTGATGGTCCACAAGGTACGCAGTTATTCACAGAATAATAATACTAAGTTACTTGGTGGTGTGTGTCTGTGCACCTTTTGTATTTTAATCCAAATCAGATAAAATGTGTGTATTATGTTTTTGTGTTTTACACATCCTGTGACATGGAACTAGTCACCTACAGTTTGTAGAAGAGGAAGTTATTTAATGAGGACTAAATTGAGTGAGCCTTCTTTTTCACTCTCAAGTGCATAAGAAATATGTGTGAAAAAATGTCTGCTCTAATGTTTTCCAGCTACCAGCTTCGGTATTGCTTTACCAGCTTGGATTGTGGACCAGAAGAATTCTATGCTGGTGAGTTTATTGTACTTTTAAATGTGCTTCTGTCTTGTTGGAATGTACAATGAATACATCTTAATCACTTGTCTGTCTTTAATTTAAAGGTTTTGCTCGTGTATGGATTGGCTTTCATGGTTATATTGCCAGTTGTTGTGGTAAGTATTGTGGAAAATGGTATAGTTTGATTATCCTTCCAGCTCCTTTCTTGTGTTTATTTCCACACTACTACAGAGAAAAAATCGATTTTAATTTATTTTTGTTTCCAATATATTACACAGCCTCCTTGCCCTCCTCTTGTTACACTTTTTTTTTTTTTTTTTTTTAAAAGCATATCACATAATTATCCAGTAATCCAGTGTGGACGATTTCATTACAATCTGTTTATTTTTAGTTCTTAATGTTAATTTATTTTTACTGTGCCTTAAATGAAAACGTTCATAAAAAAACATTTCTCACCTTTACAGTTTCTGTCAATGTCCTGCTTAGTAGATCTGCTTACAGCTGCAGGTGGATAACTCACGCACCAGAAAGATATTTTGATAACTAAAAAAAAAAAACAGTAGTGATTTAGTAGTTTATGCCCAAGAGTTGTTTCATACCATGGCTGCTATCAGCATGTCCATGGTCCAGTTTATTGTTGTGACTGACAGGTTCTCCATGATTATGTCAGCATCCTTGATGTAGTTATGATTCTTTGAGTAACACTTAAACTGCTGGATTTTTGCATATTCCCACTAAAGTCTAATGTGTATTAGTCTGTTGTATTACTTGTATACTGTTTTGACAGTTGCTAACGTTGTGTGTCCGTATCTGTCTTTTACAAATACTGTTGATTACTCTGTTTCAAATGGAGTAGAGATTGCTAAGCGCATGTATAACTATTTAATTGAGAACACCTTTACTCTAGGGTTCCTGGTGGTACAAATCAATTCGCTACAGTGGGGATCAGATCCTTATACGAACAACTCAGATTTACACCTATTTTGTGTACAAAACACGAAACATGGATTTGAAACGTAAGTGAAATTTGCGCCTTTAAAAAAATTTCTGTAAGTAATTGTAGCATTTTTTTGCGGTCTCTCTCTGTTTTTGAAATGAAATCGCCTGGTAGTGGATGCTCTTTGCATCAAGAAGCATTTTAACTGTTATAACCACTACAGATAATGTGGATAATGTGGACATTGACTATAGATGTGGCAGTGCTGGAGAGAGCCCAAATTTGACAGAAAAAAACTGGTAGACAACATCCATAGACTCTCAGCAACATAATCGCTATTAGTTATAGAGGTTATTTTATTTAGAGTACTATTTTTACCTCTCCCTGGTTAAAGTGAAACCTGTCTCTCTAGTTCAGCAATGATGGTAATTGAAGAAAAATGTGTATATTTGCTTCTTCTCCCATTTTCAACCAGTGTATAACATACTGTTGTGACTGATAAAACGTGTAGTATGTTCCTCTGTGAGCATGTAAAGCCAAGTGCTAACAGTTACAGCGTTAATATTTCATTGTGCACGGTCCCTTGTTGTATTTTCTTGACTCATGCAAGGGATGTACAGCTTGTCACTGTTATTTATTCCGATTAGTTGGTATAGTTGTATGGTTGTGAAAATGATGTGAATGGCATTTGTGCATACATTGTCTACAGTTGGAGCAATCTGTGTCTGTCCTTCATGGTTTACAAAATGAGCACCGTTTAGGAACTTGGATAACTATTCGTTAGCACTTGCTGCAGTGGGTTTCCATTACCACTGTACGGAAAATACATACAATGCATTAATGGGTGCCAATGTTTTACATTACCTATCTCTAATCAGAGACAGGGGCACTATGGCCTTAGGAATTCAAGAGTTCCAGGCAGGCTAGTGTCAACCCAGTTGCCATGCACAGTGAGCCATTCATTGGTTGAGAGTGGTCAGCTGACAATCTAAACCAATGAATGGCAACTGGTTCGGCTTCTGGTTTTGGCTCTGCAGAAACTGGAAACACTTCACCAGGGATGGTAGGATCCTCTGAGCTTGGTGGACTCCTGGATAAGGGTGCAAAGCATGGCTAAACGATTTGCCCCATTATAGGAAACCCAGACCTGAGGACACCTCACATAGTAACAAATACAGCTAGCTGCAGTGGTTCTAATGTTTGGAGTAACCCGTTAAGGTTTGTTTACCAGAAGATAAAGCATCACAGGAGTAGGATATGCATGATTAAGGATCTGCTGAGCTGAAACGTCGCACTTTCTATGGGGTGGTTCACCTATCAATAAATATACCATCCTTACTATTGGAGTGTTGCCTGCGTTTATTCCTTTTGAGGAGTCGGAGTTAGACATTTAGAAATATTTTGCAGTGTAAAATCCAAAATGACTAATTTGGGACGGTTTGTGAAATTTAGCCGGTTCCTCTCATGCATGTTCTTGTTGTTTTTGCAAGAGAATAGTTTGATGTTATACAAAAGTAACCTTACTGAAAGGTTTCCCTGATCTATGTACAGCTTTGAGAAGAATCCCCATGGACTTGCATGAGGTATTCACCTTGAGGTAGTGCAGGCCCTGTTGTTGTGTAACTTATGTCAATGTATTAATAACCATGTCTCAGTAGATGTACACTTGCTTTCATGGTTATGTATACCTCGCCTTTTCAGTAACCTCCTCTGTGCAGTAGCTTGCATGGGTAATCCATGTCTTCAGGCTATTTTTTTGTGTGGGTATTTAAATTTTTTGTAAGTGATTAAGATCACTTGTCTATTTCTAGTAGTTTTACTTTCTAGCATTGCTAAATTACAAGGCAATATCTGTCCCACTTTCAAGTCTATCTGCTGTTCTTTATCTTAATATTTGTTACCTTCGAGTAACCCTAAAATATTTGACACTGGCTGTAAAGGATCTGTTTGCAACGCTTTCTAGCTGTAATCCTAGAATAATTTTTTTTTTATCATGTAGTTATGCTTACAGCCCTTGATTTGCAACTCATGGCATTGTGAAGAGGGTTAATTTCATATATGAGTAGCAAAACAGCAGCTTTGTCATTATATAGCATTAAGCTTACTGCGTTGAACCTAGAAATGTATTTTTGCTCTGGTTTTTTCCTGTTTTGACTCTTTCGCTGTTTTGCTTTTTTTTTTTTTAAATATCTGTCTGAGATTGGTGAGATTTGTAATAAATGATCATGTTTAACCTGCTCTCATTGTGGCAGACACTATTTAGTGTATCAGTTATTTTTTTTTCAGTCTCCCATAATATGTATTTCATATGTTTGTTTTAGGTCTTATTATGGTGTTGGCAGGAGCATCTGAATTTGATCCTCAGTATAATAAGGATGCTACCAGCAGACCTGCAGATAATATACAAATACCACAGGTAACACCTGGCTTTCATTCTAACATTCTTGTTAAATGCGAACATATTTCGTTATTACTAAAGCTTCTTTTTGTCCCTTTCACCTCAAGCTAATAAGAGAGATTGGGGGCATCAACCTTAAAAAGAATGAACCTCCTCTCACCTGCCCCTACAGCCTGAAGGCTAGAGTCCTCATGCTAGCTCACCTTTCCAGGATGCAAATCCCTGAGGCATTGAAGGAAGGTAATGATCTTCTTCTTCTTTTTTATTTTTATTTATTTTATTTTTTTTTACAAGCAATATATATATATTTTTCTGTTTTGTTTCTTGTTTTCTAAGCTCTAAAATTTGGAAATTATACCTCCTGACACACAGGACATGCATTTTCGGGCCCTGGCACTATGCTGTGAGCATGAGCACTCTGACACTTTGTGAATGCCCAAACTGCAAGGGAGCGATTACTGAGTTCTTGACACCCACCTGACCAACAGTCAGAGTTAACTCCCTGCTGGAACAACATATAGCCCCTTTACAGGCAGAGACCCAAGAAGGGGGTCTAAACAGCACCTCCACTCGCATCACATACATCCAGCACACATCCACACTTGCGCACACTACACACAGACAGCATACACCAAGCACAGTCACCACTCGCATGACACACAAGCAGCGCACGCACACCCATTTTGACAAAGGGAGAGACAATGGAAGGGCAGAAGATTAGACACTTAGAGTAATTCACAGAATTCTGAATGTTTTTCAAAACAAATCCAGATGTCAAAACAGAGGCAAAAATAGCAGAGTTAAAGAATTTTTCCAGATCCTTTATTTTTGCCTCTGTTTTCCATTCAGATTTAATTTGTGTAAGTTCAGAGTTTAGCAAATAGCCTTGTCAACGTCGAGGATTCTTGGCAGGGGCCCCAATCTTTGTAATTGAAATAATTTTGCAGGACAAGTGTATTGAGGTACTGCATTAGTCCCTTGGACAAGTAGATTTGCTTTTTTTTAAATGACACCCCTTAAGTCTGGATGTTGGACTTTCAGGCAGCTGCCTTGTATATTCTTTTGTTTTGTTGAAGCATTGTGACTTTGCCTTTTATATTCTTGATTAAACAACGAGTTGGGTAATAAACTGTAAAAGAAAAATTGGTGTGTTGGAAAATTTGCAGTCTTATATAATGTACTCAAATGGGTTTTGTTTTTTTGTTTTGTTTTTTTTCTTTTCAGACCAGCAGTTTATCTTGAAAAAATGTCCTGCATTGCTTCAGGAAATGGTTAATGTGATCTGTCAACTGATCATCATGGCACGTAGTCGTGAAGGTAACAGCATTATTGTCAATGATTTGAATTTTCAAATGGTTAGCTCTTCAGTACTATTGGCATTTCACATTTGGTAATCCTTAACAGAGAAAGGAAGACATTCAAATTTGGAAATCATTTCAGAGATCTATTACTCTCTTTGTATGCACTCATTCTTCATATAGATCAGTGGTTCCCAACCCAGTCCTCAAGTACCCCCTAACAGAACAGGATTTAGGGATTACCCAGTTGTGTTTAAGGTGTTTTTAGGATAAGAAAAAAAAACACTTTAGACACAACAGGGTAATCCCTAAATCCTGGACATGGGGTACTTGAGGACTGGGTTGGGAACCACTGATATAGATGGAAAGTCTTTTAGTTTCTGTAAGTCATTATTTTTTTTTTATAAATCCAATTCTCTATATAGAACAGGATGTAGGTATGGGGGAAGTAGAATGTCCTGTGATCTTTTAGACCGGAATACGTACCTGAAAATAAACCAATCTGTCACTATTTCAAAGGGCACAATGCAGAAAAGCATCACTTCACATGCTATGGCATATTTTAAGGTGTTCTACTTTAAGACATTTCAATGGCTTTACCCGGTTAGTTTAAAAGATACTCCGTTTTTTGTTTGTTAATGGTTGGTTATCTTCCCTATATTGGGAGCTGATGTATTCTACAGACAGCGGTTTTGTCAGTGATGTTGTCTTGCAAATCCTGACTCCAAAATACTCCAGTATACATTTTTATTGTATGTGTGGTACCTGCTTGTAAGACAATGGGAACATAAGCTATTGAAATACTTCTTGTATCTAGTCCTAGTGTATGTTTTGTCATTTGACAAAGAACTTCTAAAGTATGTCTGTCACCAATAGAAATAAAACAATGTATAGAAGAAATATTTAAATTTAGCAAACTTAATATTTTTCATATGACATGGTTTATAGTAAAAAAATAAATAAAAATATTTATTCATTATTCTTGTTGTCCATCATTTTCTTTGTCCACACATGAGAAAGCATGACTTGCTAATTGCCAAGAAGATGCATTTGAGCTTCTTGGCTTCCACTGTATCCTTTACCTGCCCTCTGATGTATTGTCCACCATGCCCAAAGAACATCCCTACGCCTTGTGCTCTCTTTGTATAAAATACTGCCTGGAGATTTAAATATTAACACATTTTATAGATGGTTTATAGCTAAGCAAAGAAACTTTCATAGACAGAACCACTTTTGAATAACGGATTCTTTTTCAAGAAAGGGAACTCAGGCCTCCATCATTGTCCTCACTGGAGAACTGCATGAAGCTCTGTCAGATGACTGTACAAGGCCTACAGCAATTTAAGTCTCCATTTCTGCAACTTCCATATATTGAGGAGGACCATTTGAGGAGAGTGTTCAACCACAAGAAGGTATATTATTTCCATAACATAGCTTAATGTATATTACAACAGAGATTTCCTTAAAACCTTACTGTTGCCATTTTGCCTAGCATGCACAGAAGGACCCTTAGCTATAGTTTATCTGTATTATAAATTATAAGTCTATTTAGCTGTGCTGTCCAACTGGCCAGAAGTTTATTGTGAATACTCATTCTTTATAACTGGAACATACATATCAGGCAGGAAGTGTGTGATGATTGCCCAGGAGGTACACTGGGGTCTAGCAATGTCTGGGATCACCTTGCAAAGGGTTCTTTCAATTAACATTAGTCTAATAGAGAAATTATATCAAAATAAAGTTACATGTGTGTGTTTTTTTTTCTTCTTCAATTGTCACCATAATCGGGATTATTCATTAAAGTGTGATTTTGCTGGGAATTCAAAGTAAATTTTAAATTTAAGGCTAAAATAGCAAAAATCGCAGAATTGACTTGAATTTTCTAAATGTTCTATTTTGTCCTAAATCTTGAAATTCACTTTGAAATCCAAGGAGTTCTCACTTTAGTGAATAAACCCTGCAATCTAAAGCTAAGCTAAAATAGCTAGTTAAAAAATGATTCTCCAAGTCATATTTATAATTCACTATATTGCCCTAAAGTGAAATTCCAGGCTATTCACACGGCAGTGAATATCTGAGTGTGATGGCGTGCGTCACTTCTTACATTGCTAGTTGGGCACTGAAACATTGGTTAATGTAAATGAAAGGTCTACGAATAATGTACCCTTGTCATGAAGTTTTTATGCATATTGTAAGTATTTTTCTTGTCTATAGCTGACTTTGGTTTTTCTAATTACTAGTTTAAAATTAAGACCATTCGAGACCTTGTCAGCATGAAGGAGTCGGATCGCCGCATTCTCTTTACTTTCCTGGAAGATAGTAATTATGAAGAGCTTATCGCTGTGCTTGGTAGCTTTCCACACATCACAATGGAGATAAAGCCACAAGGTAGGTGGGAAGACCTGATTAATCAGTGAGCCAGTAGGGCAGGGGAAGGCCACCTTCGGCACTCTAGATGTTGTGGACTACATCACCCTTAAAGGACCACTATAGTGCCCTGAGGGTGCCCCCACCCTCAGGGTCCTCCTCCCACCGGGGTGGATGTCAAGGAAAGGGGTTAAACTTACCTTTTTTCCAGCGCCGGGCAGGGAGCCCTCCTCCTCCTCTCCGCCTCCGATCCTCCTCTTCGGCTGAATGCGCATGCGCGGCAGGAGCTGCGCGCGATTTCAGACGGTCTCATAGGAAAGCATTCATAATGTTTTCCTATGGACGCTGGCGTCTTCTCACTGTGATTTTCACAGTGAGAAGTACGCAAACGCCTCTAGCAGCTGTCAATGTGACAGCCACTAGAGGCTTTAGAGGCTGGATTAACTCATTTATAAACATAGCAGTTTCTCTGAAACTGCTATGTTTATAAAAAAAAAAAAGGGGTTAATCCTAGAAGGACCTGGCACCCAGACCACTTCATTAAGCTGAAGTGGTCTGGGTGCCTAGAGTGGTCCTTTAATGTTCTTATAGCCAAAATGCTGGCAAAGCATTGTAGAAGATGTAGTCCACACTTTGAGTGCCGCAATATAAACAAGGTGTCTTTTTGTTTATACAGATAAATGTTAATACTGTGCGGAAAAAAATGTAAAGGCATACTGGTGGTTAGTTTTTTTTGTCTCTTTTTTTGGAGAGAGTCAGTGGTGAATCTAATACACCCCTACCTATAAAGTACTATATATGCTTTGTATTAAATTGAGTAGAACCAGTGCGTTCTAGTGTTGGCAAGGTAGACAACTAGCGAAAATACATACCTGACAACTATTCCAATATGTGAAAAAAACAGTACCCGTTTGTGACAACAGTGAAAAAAAAACTTTGCTTCTGAGGACTGCACTATAAATAAGTATAGTGTGAGTGTGTTGTTAAGCATGCAGTCTGCTTTAACTAAATCTGGGGCATTTCTACCACACCAGAGTGTGCTCTGCCCATAAGCATCACAGGATGGTTAGCATGCTGCACTGAACACGATTCTGACTACTTTACAGCCATAGCATGTCACCAGCATGCCCCCCCACTCTACCTGCCTTTCATGTCTATATTTTATGCCCCAGAATAGGCTGCTTTGTGGTAAGTGCAATTGAACGTGAGGTTTTAAAAATTTAAATTTAAATGGCTTCATGTACAGGTGACAGAGAACAGCTGGTTTAATATAACATTCTGTCGCCTTGTGTAATGGATGATTATTGTATTGAGTGTGAATTGCCTCGGGAGTCTTTAATACCTGTCGTAGATAGTGTAACATTTAATTTTCTCTCTTACACATTTAAAACCACTATAGGGGTTTATATAATAACTTCACGTAGAGTGCAAGACTTAAAAATAAAAAATTAATTTTGTATTTCAGTGCTGGATGATGAAGACAGTAATAATATCACGGTGGGTTCTCTTGTCACTGTTCTGGTCACTCTAAGAAGACAAACAATGTCTGTAAGTATGAAAGCAGTTTATTTGTGTATTTAAATAGATTACAATGTATTTGGCTCTCATCTCCCACATCTATTGTGTACCCACACCACTTTCTTACACAAACAGGCTTGTATTTGTCAAACCATTTATGTATTCAGGGGATTTTATATTTATAAAACCTTGCATTTCGTGTTTGTGTTTTTTTTTATTTCTCATTTCAAATGCTTAATTGTTACATCACCTGAGCTGATTACAGTGTCAACATCTTGTAGTTGTAGTAGAAGGTAACTTTAGCAAGGTATATCATAACTACTGCAAAGGTAGTTCCAGATATTTTGTGACCGTGATCTCTGTCCAATTTAAGGTGTTCATACAGTACCTTCACATGGATAAGTGTGTTTTCTGTACATATATGTAGGTGTTGGTCAGATTTTAATGTATATCTATTCTTGCCCATCAGGATGTATTTGAGAAGGAGCAGTCCACGTGTTCTGCAGAGGATCAGCCTGTGGAAGAAGGCGTAAGTATCAATTTGTATAAGCTGGAAGGAGAACTGTAACTTCTCTGGAAAGTACACCATCAACTAAAATGACTGAAAACCACTTCTAACTTATGTAGAAGTTATTTTAAGTAAATCTTAATGTGAGGCTTAATTTTCTTTTAAATGCTTATTGAAGATTTAGCTGTTGAAGGAATACTCAAGAACCATAAGAACCTAAAGCATTTTGTAGTGGTTATGGGGCCCAGGGTGGTATTGAAGATCATAGTTATATTCACTCCAGACTCATTAAGGGTACACATTACTTTGGAACAGGGGTAACAGAAAAATGTTGTTTTCCTTCCCATCACTCTGTTCTGATTGATACGTGCATTGGTTGTAATTCTGTTTTCACCTTTGTCCTAGCAAGGAGATTCTACTAAAACTAAAGGCAAGGGCTGGCAGCAAAAAAATAAAACAGCCAAAAAGTCTTCCAAGTCCAAGAAAAAGAAGCTGATAAAAAAGAAGCCAGCTCCGCAACCCTTACCACAGCAGAAACAAGGCAAGCCCAAGCAAGCAAATGGGGTTCTTGGGAATGTGAGTATCCTCATTTCATGGTTCACTGTACAAAGTTAGTGGTTGTATTTTACAGACTGCTTTTAATACATTTGTTCTGTGCATCTGATGCAGGTTTTTTTGTTGTTGTTGAAATTGTTACATGTGTATTAAACTTTTGTTTATGGTGGATTAATGAATTTAATAATGTTTTTGTAACTAAGCTGTTCATTTCACCCCAAGTTATTGTATATTGCACTGTTAATTTACGGCAGGGGTACTCCACCTTTTTAGAAGTTGAGGGTTACAATACATGCATTTACAATATAGTAGGAATGAAAGGTTTGGTTAATGAGAACACGGAGTCTGCTTATTATTATATTTATTTTTATATTTTATATTAGGAACTATTTCTGTGGTAGCTAATCGGGGGCACTGCCCCAGATTTCAATCAATAATTTCTGTCCTCCCTTTTGACTTTGAGTGCTTGGTTCTGGAAAACATCTTTTCACATTATTATCGGTATTTATATAGCGCCAGCTTATTCCGTAGTGCTTAACTATAAAACATAAACACATGCTTCCGAAGAGGGTGAAGATTCTTGTCGAATGCATTCTTAATTTTTCCCTTTTCAACATTTTGTTAAAATTATGGAAGAGACACTTTATTAAATTTTGACTTCATGTCTGAGTCACATTTAAAGTCATTGATTCCCACTTGACGGTCCCCTGTGTTCTCCATTACATTCATAGCGAAAATGTTATTTCAGCCACAGTCTTATTGCAGCCACATTTTGAGGAGTGGATTCTGCAGACTGCATTTTCAACATGCTTTGGAAATTTGTCAAATATATATACTTATAGTTATGTTTGCGGATCACATTAAGGGTCCAGCGGCCACAGATGACCCATGGGAAATGGGTTAAGCACTCTTGCTTTACATTGTTCTTGACTAGGTAATTTATAGGTATTTTTTAATTTATTGTTCAGCCAAAATGGTTGTTTCCAAACTTGTATTTTCTCCTGGAAACAACAAGCTGTTAAAATATAACCAATATTAAACTCCTTTGTATCGTGTTTTGCGTCAGCAACTTTTAAATTTCTAGCTGGCTTGAAGAGAGAGACACTCATACTTCTAGCCATTGTTCTATTTTAAAATGTATTTAATTCCAGTTCTGAAACCAATTTTAATGTTGACACAGAAAATACATGGCTTAAGGAGTGCATTCAACTTATTACAGTTCTGAAATTCTTGTGTGGCACAAATTGAGGTGGTTTGCAGCACACCAGTGTACCAAAGCACACTGGTTGAATACCACTGCTTTAAATAATAGGAACATTGAGCTCATCATTCAACTTATATTGGGGACATTTTATTTAATTTTTGTTCTTATTATGTATGCTTAGCCCTTTTCTGATGTCTGATTAATACAAACCATTAACAATCTGTGTCCAGTAGTTGGTAATTTGTACAGAGGCACTCTATAGGCACCCAGACTGACTCTCATTTAGAGCATTTTATTTTGCTACACATGCGCACTAACTTCATAATCTTTCCTTATGAGAAGCATCAAAATTGATCTTAGACTAGTGTGAGGGAAGTAAAATTGACTTTTTAAACATCTGCAAGGGGAAGGTGGACACCTACGTACGTAGGAGAACACTATAGCATTAGGAATATTTGTTTATATCCTAAAACTATAGTGTTTATTTATGTGGAATGCTTAAATTTTTTTTCCCCTAATAATTTTGGAAATTGATTAACAGTTTAGTTTTTCTTTTTTTGAGTAAGTAGGTAAGTGCTCACATTTATTTTAGATGTTGAAAAAAATGTATAATGCTCCCTAAGATTTCACTAGCATATATGTTTACTTTAAGGTGTAGTGTATTTTTTCATAATTTGTTTTTCCATTCAGATTAACAACACATTGTACTTGTCTACGGGTTAATTGACCAAAATAAATATTGCTATTTCTCAGGAGGTTACATCCAAGGAGGATGAGGAAGAACTCTCCGATAAAGGCAGTGATTCTGAAGATGAAGATACAAATCGGGATTCCCAGAGTGATGGAAGTGATAAAGATTCTGATAGAGAGCAAGATGAGAAGCATGGAAAGGATGATGAAGCAGTAAGCTGTTTTTTTTTTGTTTTTTCTTTCTTCAATGGTAGCAATGAATACATTGTAGCAAAGGAAGGAGTAATCCCTGTTTATTTTGTTACTTATTCTGTTTGTGGGTCATTGGATCAGCAATACTTTTCACAAAGCTGTACACCTGACTCCATTGAATTTATTTTTGCCATTTGCCTTTATCTGCCCATATAACAGACAGGTGAGCTATGGACAGCATAGTGTTTTCTGTTGAATCCACATTTAGTAAATAATCTTTACATAAGCAATAAGGAATTTATTTTATGTTTTTGTTTTTTGTTTTTTTACTTTTTAAATAAATATAAATATATATCTATATCTCTATAAACCGAGATGCTTGCACTCCTGGATTAGAGAGTAATTGCCTGGTGCTGGTCAGGCACAAGATACAAAAAAATGATTGGAAATGACCGCACTCCAAGGACATGATGATAGTAAAAATAAAATATAACTTTTCTTCTATATTATTTAAAAATATCGACGTTTCAGCCCCAATACATGGGCTTTCATCAGGATGGCAATCAATACACAAATACATATAACATACTTATATAGCAAAACATAAAAGGATACTAACCAGCTTCATGTGTGAGAGAACCGAAATGGCGTTCAGACTGCACGTGGAACGGTTGATCAAAGTGCCTCAACCGTAGTTGCTAGGCACTGCGTTCCATTTGGTTGCTAGTTGATCAGTGGAACGCAATTTCACCCACGATTGCTATGCTGTTTGATCGGTAAACACAAAGCTAGTATTGCTGTGCTGTGTGTACCGATCATGAAATCATTCCCTCTGCCTGCTACTTTCTGGCACTGTGCCTGGAATGCAATTTATACAAAGTATCAGTAGGCACCATACATCATGTGCTGCTGCACTAACAGGTCCTTGACAGGACTTCACTCTGGCAGAGTGCAAATACCATCACACTCAGCCCGCATGGGTCTTCACTTCTCACAAATAGATGGGGGATATAAGTGCCCAGAGAGAAGTTGGAAGAGTGTTATAAACAGAATAGAAAGCCACACTATTGTTTTGTAAACCAGCCAATATGGAGCTGTGTAGAGATGGACAAATACTGCCAAGTCCATTATGTTATTGTCAAACTACCCCCCATATAGCTATATTTGAATGGTACTCCCTAAATCCTAGCAGGAGAAAATGTGTAAATACATAGAAGCCTATTTTAAAGATTGTATTGTAGCTGGGGGTGTTTTTGTAGAACCAATGGCTTAGAAGAGAATAAGAGAGACGGGAATAGGTAAAAGGTAAATTGCGGCAAAATAATGAAATCGCAATCTCTAAACCACATGAAGTTGGATTAAGCAATTAAAAACAATATTACTTGAAAAATGATAGTATAAGAGGTCAACACAATTAGATAAATACAACTAAACTGAAAGATAAATAATGATTAACTGTTACCTAACTTGTGGACAAACAATCTCATTAATACATAAAATGAGAAAATGCAATGATCATATTTATAAGCACTGACTACTATGTTATTAGAGACACTGTTTAAGTGCATCCAAATATTATATATTGGGTAAGATTAAATTCATATTTGACTAAGATGACTAGACATAATTACATTAAACTTTTGATTTTAAAGATATAATAGATAAACATATTGGGTGAATACAGAAAAAAAATCCCCCTATAACCATTGTTTTGAGTGAGAATAGTTCTGAAAAAACTTCCATCTAGAGTGAAAAAAATAGATGGAGGAGAGATAAATATAGGTAATTAAATCCCACAAAAAGGGAAAAATACTCGTAAATAGTACATTCACAGAGTCACAACAATCTATTGGTTATAATAAAGATTGCAGATGTATAGATTTATAGAAACATGGAGAATTACACTTTTTTTCATTAAGACCTTTAGGCCACACTGTGTCTAATGTCCTAATCCAGAATGTTTCGCGCTGTAACAAGAGTTTTTCCGATCACCACCCCGTAGCAGGGGAGGTACATGATCAATAGCTATGAATTTGAGTCGGGAGTTGGTGTCCCATTGCCAAAAAATGTTTGGCTACTGGCAGTTCTGCTTTTTTGTCCCTGTATGCCACTCTGATATTAGACCGATGGTTCCTAATTCTTTCTCTGAGAGGTAGGTCTGTTTTCCCTGTGTAGGATAATCCGCATGGGCACTGCAGTTTGTATATGACAAAATCAGTTGTACATGTCAGTCTGTGACATATTTTATATTGTTTCTCTGTGTGTGGATGGAGGAAGGTTTTACCAGGAATCATATGGCCACACGTGACACATCCCAGACATCGGTAACAGCCCACATTCGTTTGTTGTTGTTCCTTCATGTAGCAATGTGTGGGGTCCGTTTTAACTGAAAGATCACGGAGATTCTTGCCCCGCCGATAGCTCATCATAGGTGGTTGTCGGAATTTCCAATCATTTTATATATTTTTATATATATAATATATATATATATATATATATATATATATATATATATATATTATTTTTTTTAAATACAGTGTATATATAAATGTTTCCTTCCTCTTTCTGTGAATTACATATTTAGTGTACTGCCTTAACATGGTGTTTATGAAGTATTGTTTGTGCCAAACTCATATACAATTAGTGCTTTTTACTTTGCTACTTACAGGAGTGGCAAGAATTACAGCAAAGCATACAGCGTAAAGATCGAGCGCTACTGGAAACAAAATCAAAGATCACGCATCCTGCTTACAGTCTATATTTTCCTGAGGTATTTCTCATTGTACACAGATTAAATATACTTGTATACTTTTGTATATTGCTATAAAAGCTATTTTGTTGTGTTCGGTATCTGGGTCTAATAGGCTACGGACTATTATTATGTGCGAGGGAAAATGTGTTGCTATCAGATGCTCATGAAACATCCATTTACACAGACTACTCCTTTCCTAAAGTGTGAATTATTTTTCACAGGTTTAAAGGTCCAGACAGCTAGCTACAATTTTGACACTTTAATGGATTTCCTTTTCAGTTGAAAGTATTCTTGTTTTTAATTGAGAGGAGATGTATAGATCTATGGTTCCAAAAAAGTTTTCACTTTATTTTTTTTAACTTTATTTCACGTATGTCCGTTTTAGTGAATCTGTAATGACAGATATAGGTTTGCAAAATACAGATTAAAGAACACTGCACACAGACATTTTTTTACAAGGCTACTTCAAATCTCCTATTTCTGCAAACAAATATGCCATATTGTGTTATGCCCACCATTACTTCACAATACCACACTATATAGCACTGTATAATTTAAAAAAAAATAAAATCCATTTATTGTGTTGATCATATTAATTTTGTATGATCTATATTCACAATGCCATTACACCTGATTAATTAAATGCACATTAGATTGATATATTAAGCACTATCACTATATAAATTGTCAATCTCCCATATTAAAATTAGTGTAGGACCCACTCGTACTGGGGTACAGTGACATAGTGGTGGGTCTAACACAATATGGCCATATGGTGGCACTAAATCCCCATATTTGTTTGCTGAAATATGTGATTTTTTTTTTTTGATTTTTTTTAAAGTAGCCTTGTAAAATTTTAAAATGGATATTGTGCTGCTCCTTAATCTGTGTTTTGTTTAAATTGTGGTCTTTATGGAACTACCACTGCTTAGGAATGCATGTTCCAGTTGTGCCCCAATTTCCCCTTTTTTCTAGATACAGGTTTGCAATCTTCCAACCATCTGGCTTGACTCATATTATACATCTTAAGTGTAATGTCAATTCTCTTTAGACCGGTCTTGTCCTCTCTTTCCCTAATAAGACATGCAGGCACAGCCTTCTAATCTTTATGCTGCTCAGCACAGACTTAACTGACTGAGAGGAGGAACAGAGGGCTGTTTTCAACCTCTGATTTTACAGGAATCTAGACATTTGTTAACTATACTGCTAGAATAATGTATAGCTGAATATGTTGTTTTTTTCATGACATTTATACCCTTTAATAATTCTATTCTGAGTAATTTTCGATTATTAAGATAATTCCTTCTCCGCTCACTAATGTGGCAGGCTATGTATAGCACAGTACTATTAAGTTGTTAATATTGTGCCAAGTACGCTTATTAGTGCTGTATAAACTGAATATACCTGCAATCTATACATAATCTCAACTTGCATGTGCCATTAACCCATATTTTCTTATAGGAAAAGCAAGAATGGTGGTGGATTTACATTGCAGATCGAAAAGATCAAACGTTAATATCTATGCCGTATCATGTTTGCACACTAAAGGATCGAGAAGAGGTGAGAGAGAATGTGTTACGACAATGTATACCTAAGCGACAATGGCCACGGATAAACTTTTTTTTTAATTTTTTTTTTTTATCTTTATTTTCAAATATTGTGAAACATAGTATAGCTTTAAAGAAAAGTGTATTTAGGTTTATAGAATTATTTCTCTTTATTGATAGACTGTTTGTATTTCAGTCTCAAACCTACAAAGCATTACCCTGCTGTTTGTTACTATTGTGTTGGTTATATACAAAATCTCATCATTGAGACTTCTGCTTAATGTTAAACTCTGTGGATAAGAAACATAGAAACATAGAATGTGACTGCAGATAAGAACCATTCGGCCCATCTAGTCTGCCCAATTTTCTAAATACTTTCATTAGTCCCTAGCCTTATCTTATAGTTAGGATAGCCTTATGCCTATCCCACGCATGCTTAAACTCCTTTACTGTGTTAACCTCTACCACTTCAGCTGGAAGGCTATTCCATGCATCCACTACCCTCTCAGTAAAGTAATACTTCCTGATATTATTTTTAAACCTTTGTCCCTCTAATTTAAGACTATGTCCTCTTGTTGTGGTAGTTTTTCTTCTTTTAAATATAGTCTCCTCCTTTACTGTGTTGATTCCCTTTATGTATTTAAATGTTTCTATCATATCCCCCCGTCTCGTCTTTCCTCCAAGCTATACATGTTAAGATCCTTTAACCTTTACTGGTAAGTTTTTTTTATCCCGCAATCCATGAACCAGTTTAGTAGCCCTTCTCTGAACTCTCTCTAAAGTATCAATATCCTTCTGGAGATACGGTCTCCAGTACTGCGTACAATACTCCAAATGAGGTCTCACCAGCGTTCTGTACAATGGCATGAGCACTTCCCTCTTTCTACTGCTAATACCTCTCCCTATACAAGCAAGCATTCTGCTAGCATTTCCTGTTGCTCTATTACATTGTCTGCCTACCTTTAAGTCATCAGAAATAAATTACCCCTAAATCCCTTTCCTCAGATGTTGAGGTTAGGACTCTATCAAATATTATGTACTCTGCCCTTGAGTTTTTACGTCCAAGATGCATTATCTTGCACTTATCCACATTAAATGTCAGTTACCACAGCTCTGACCACTTTTCTAGTTTACCTAAATCATTTGCCATTTGGCTTATCCCTCCTGGAACATCAACCCTGTTACATATCTTAGTATCATCAGCAAAACGACATTCCTTACCATCAAGACCTTCTGCAATATCACTAATAAAAACATTAAAGAGAATGGGTCCAAGTACAGAACCCTGAGGTACCCCACTGGTGACAAGCCCAAGCTTCGAATATACTCCATTAACTACAAGAAAAAAGAAAATTACACTTTAAATACTTTAGTACAAAAAAAAAATTGCTTTAGAAATTGTAGCTACTAAACGTCTTGCCAATGATATTCTAAGCATCTCTGGAGAACACCTTGTGTAATTTAAAGTACTTGTTTTGCTGTTTCACATTGCATTTACTGACCTTTTTAAGGCCAGATTATGATTGTGTTTATTGAACATTATCATTTTAACACGGTTCATTTGATTTTCTTCTAGGTGGAGCTTAAATTTCCTGCTCCCAATAAACCAGGAAATTATCAGTATACTGTGTTCTTGAGATCAGATTCTTATATGGGCCTGGATCAGATTAAACCGTTAAAGGTAAAGTATTTATTACTTTTGCAGAGAAGTGCTTTTGTTGTAGGGATGGCTAACCAAATACAATGGGATACACCAGCACATAATTCAAGATTTAACTGACCTTTCCCTCTTAACAGAATGAACTGTTCACATTCATTACCTATCTTGTGTGACTTTAGAATGGGGTAAAAACTGTTTGGATCTAGTCACACCTTGTTGAGTAGCTTAATTGCTTGATGCAGTAATGCAGTATCATGATTGGATTACAGTATATTCGAAAAATATATATGTACATCCACCAATTTATGAGGAGACTAAAGTTTTTATCTCCACAAGATTGGCTTAACCCCTTCCTAAGGCATACGGGTTATTGGTCTTTAGGTTGACATTGTCCACTAACCTCACCTATTATTAGTTACTCATTATGAAATTTGTTTACTTTCTGAAACCTAGCGGTAATTGTGTGATGGGTGTGATCACTCGCCGCTCTCCTTTTCATTACTGGCGTAAGTTCTCTTTCCAAGAGAAAAGCATTCCAGGACAATAAATGTCTTTGCTGTTACAAATTACACAAGCACTGGGCAACCTCTATTGCTTGCCTTAAAAAAAGAAATGGGTATAAATTGGCATGGGACGTTTATTATAAGTGGACAACTGTAAGCTCCTATGTTAACTTGAATGAGCTTACTACAGTAAAATCAGCATTGTCTCTCTATTGTATCATTTTGGTATGCTACACACAATTAACTTCTAGGCTTTGTAATGGATGTGCAGTTTGTGGTATAGATCAATTGAAATATGTGTGAATTATGTTAATGACAAACTATTTGCCCTTTCAGCTGGAAGTTCACGAAGCCAAGCCAATACCAGAGAATCATCCTCAGTGGGATACCACCATAGAAGGTGATGATGAACAGGGAGACAGTGAAGGGTTTGAAGAAAGTTATGAAGAGGAGGAAGAAGACGATGAAGAGGATTAAATGGAAAGACTAAAACGGACTTGCTAGAGCTGCACACTGTCGTCGTTCTGATATTGGCGTCACCCCATTCACCAGAGCCACAGTGTAGACGTTTTCGGGAAGTTGATTTTTAGTTACTCTTTACCAGTTCTGAGTGCTTTATGTGATTTTATGCCTGTTGGAGGCCAAACAAAACCTTACCATTGGTACAACCATGAGAATACCTAGCGACTTACCGAAGTCATCCAACATAGAGAGCTACATATAATCCATCTAAAGGAAAAAAAAATTAAGATTTTTATTAAATTAAGATGTCTATATTCAGAAACTGGTCATCTTTGTGTAAAAGATTTTTTTTTGGTGTAAAATAAGAATAATTTATCACCTAAAGTCTCCTGCTTTCTTTTAGATCTCTATTAAATGTAAATGCTGTTTCACTTTTGTATCCTTTACAAATATCAGGTCTTTTCATTTTCACCAATAATTTGGTTTTCTTATTTGACTTTGAAACACAAGGCACAATGTTTATTTTTTATTATTTTATAAGGACACACATTCCATGGATCATAAACTGTTTATTTTTTTTGTTTGGTTTTGCCAATGACTACATGTCACATAATCTCATTAGGGGAAAAATACTTTTTTAGTAAAATGAGGTATATATCTGTAATTTATGGGACCACACTTTGAAGTGTTTGGTTTTTATGCAATGATGCCTTTTCTAAGGGCATATATGAAGAGTTAGAAATTCAATTCTGGAAGAAATGTCATTGTAGAGATCTGCTCTACGGTTGGGAAGTGAGAAACTATTTTTGTTGTGGATTTTTTTTATTTGTTTTTTAGTTGTGTGGGAGGGAAGTGATTTTAATTAATACGCGGTTACACTACAATATCCATCTCCTGTAGTCTCTAGAACAAGTGCCAAGGTCCTTACTTGTCCATCCTGATGGTTTAATTCCAACAACCTGGATAGGTCTATCCTGTGTAGTCTTATTTAAGTTCTACAGAAAATAGTATGAAACACTGAGTTACACAGACAAGATAAGCTTGTGTAGCTTTTAATAAACCTGTGCGCCATTAACTACTTTTTTACATTTGTAATAGTATGTACCCTTTCCCCCTGTTAATTTTTGGTTAATACGGAGGAGAACATATTTTCTAATTTGGTATTTACTATTCAACAGCCAGTATATGAAGTATTCCATTTAAAAGGGTTACACACCTTAGATGGTCTTTCATATTATATGCCGTCGTTTCCACTGATTGTAGGTGTGACACAACAAGATTTCCAAAGGTAATGTAAGGATATTTGTAATGCAGAGGTGTGAATTTTATTTTGATAGATCACAATTTCCACACTTTTATCCATACTTTGTCACTTTAGCCACTGAAAAAAAATAAGTTTCCCATGTTGATGAAAAACGGGTTGTCACATTAAATGCTAAATTACATTGATAATTTCTTTGTAATGCAATAGTTGCAAATAAAATTTAAAGTCAGAAGTGGTATGTGGTATTTCTAAGTGGTTTTGTTTATAGGAAACTTGCATACAATTGTGGCCTGATTGTAATCCATTAAGCACCAATGGTGGTCCATGCTGTCATAAGAATCTCTTCTTTAAGGGTCATATTCATAAATGGAATGTTCTATGTAACTATATGTCTGTATATAGCTACAGAGACTAAATAACCAAGACCTTTCATGGTCACATAAAGTCTTCTAGAACCAAAAAAAATAAAAATAAAAAATTGGGGGGGGGCAGTGCCTGATTATCATGGGACTGGACGTGTTTCAAGAGAGCTTGTTGGGAAATGCTGAACAAAGCAGTTTTAGCTATACTTTTGCAGCTTGCAACATATTCCTTGCTACAGAACAGACTAACCGGTCTGGGAAAGCCTCCCCAGTGTTCATCTAGTCACCGGTTTTGGCTGATATAAGTGCAGCCCAGCAGGCGCCAAGGAGGGGAGAGGCAGCTGATATCCTGGCCTGATGCAGATGGGCCCTGAATCCTGCAAAGTTATGCCCTCCCCCACCTTTTTGGACCGGGGGGATGATCCTAGTGGCTCCCAAGTCCCATTAGGGATCTGTGGTGGGGGCAGCAGAAGACAATACCGATGGTGCTACATGTAACATGGCATATGCCACGTGTACCCTAGATTCCCACAGAGAGATGTCCACTAATTTTCAAAGGTTTTTTTTTTATTATTTTTTTATTTTTTAAAGCTTTCTGGTGGCAGTTAAGGAGAATCTAGCTCTGCCTAAGGTTGTTAGGCACCTTCTGGACTGTCCCGATGTGCCCTATGTTGCTCAAAAGCCTTCATTATGGGCACAGCGAGCCTGAGGTGGCAGAATCCGCATTGGTATGCCTTGAGGAAGGCAGTGTGCAGAAAAGCATTGCTGCTGACCACACCCCACGACCATGGGGTATATGCAGAGAGGGAAGCAGCTGCAAATGTAGGACCCACAGCTGAACCCCTTTGCTCCAAACCTGAAGCTCACTGTTATGTGGGACTGTGTTATACCTACAATGGGGATTGGCTGACCGCCATGTTGAGCCTCCTGCTATTTGTATCATCACGGTTTGCCGTTTCTTATCATAGCATGCTCAAGATCGGGTTTGCCCAAAAGGGTAGATCCCCAGATGTTTTAAAACTTTTTTTTTTTATTTTTTATAATGCTTTGTCATTATAAAATAAAGCATCATGGGAGTTGTAGTTCCACAACATCTGGGGATCTACCTTTTGGGCACCCCTGGTTTAGCTCCTTTGATGTTTCTTTTCTTTTTAACATCCAACATTATCAAGATGAAAAAGCGATACTTTATGTTAATACCTAACCTGGATACCCCTATTATATAGCTAATGGATTTCTTGGATGGTACGCTCTGCTGGTTTACAATCCCTACCATGTCTACCTATGCCTGGCTAGTTTCTAGTTGGCATTTGATGCAAGCTTATACATGTAGATTATCGTCTTCATATAATAGTAGAAAATTGTGCAGAGTTTTCAAGTGTCACGTAATTGTATAGCCACGTGGTTTGCCATACTTGCTGTTGTGGCATTGCTAGCTTGGCTGTATTCTTTTCTCTATGTATAGATTTTATGCCAGAAAAAGTTGATCTGGGAACGTAAATAAGAATATTTCTTGTTCAACTATTATGATATTTGAGGGTTGAGATGTTACTTTTTACTTCAAATCAATGTAGTGTGGTAGAAGCTACAGGATATTTAAGTAAAGTTCAGTACTCACATGGTTAAAACTACTGTGCAACTATCTTGGACCAGGGCGCATGTGGGGAATGTCAGGAACGCCCACTATTAGATAACGTATGTAAGAGATGAGTTTTAGTTTAATAATTGGATGTAACTATAGTAATGTAGGTGTAATTTTTATATTCTTTGTTTACGTATGGAATACGTCATTTGTGGTATATATTCTTTGTTCTCTCATAAACGTGTGCTCAGTCGGTTATACCAAGACTATTCAGAGATGGGGTAGCGCTGCGCTAGCATTAAAATACAGTAATGTAAAATAGTCCAAAAGAGTCTCACTAGAGCAAAGATGCTTGATGGAATGTAGATGAGTAGACTTTTCAGTAGAGGTGGGTGCGTCCTAACGTCTCGGGGTGTTCGCATATATGAAAAACAGACAGGGGCAGCCAGTAGTGCAATACGTCTAAAATCCAAAGAGTAAAATAGTAGTAGAAGGTAGAGAACTCACATTTAAAAGAGCTATGGCCAGCTCTGGTGTGAAGGGTGTACAGCGGTATGATCCCCGCTGATGGCATGTGAAGGGAGTGCGTCTATCGGCACCGTCTGGTCATCCAAGGGGAATAAAAACAGGCGACAACAGTGCTCTCACCTGAAATGTTGGCACTACTTGAAGTGGTCTGGGCTCTTGCCCAAGTTAGCATCATCCATGGCCGAGCCCACCAGAAGGGCGAAGCCCATGTGACCATTAGAAGCTGATGGCACTGCAAAACATGTCGCTATGAAAGACGGTATCTCAGTCAACCCTTGCCCTGCTGTTCCTGGTACCCATCTCTGACTGGTCACCCCTATATAGCCTTGCTGAACAAAATGGCTGGAAAACAGAACCAGGCCATTCCTTGAATAACAAGTGGTACCAATTAGAAGATGGGATAATAGTCATTGACTGCAAACATTGCCCATCTACAGTAACACAAGCAGTGGCCAGAGGATGCATGGAATGTGCCAAAATAGCCCCGACAAGGACCAAGACAAAAACCAGGGAATCAAACTGTTGGAACATTACCTATATCTGATTTGCTCATTGACTTTACTGTTATTTCAGAATTTGGTGAATTCCAGTATATCCTTGTCATAGTATGCTCTTACTCTGGCTGGATAGAAGCCCAGCTCACTTGAACCGAACAGAAGAAACAATAAAAGAAAAGAAAAAAAGTGGTCCATTTCCTGCTTACTGAAATAATTCCAAGATATGTCATCCCGATAACGGTTGGATCTGACCAGCTTAGCTTTTGTACACAAGTGCCTGCAGGAATTAGTCACCAGCCTCAGTCTTAAATGGAAACTGCACATTGCCTATAGGCCTCAAAGCTCAGGAAAAGTGGAGCGAATGAACCGAAAACTGAAGCTACATCTGGCTAAAATGTGCCAAGAAACCGGCTGGACTGGGGACACGAAGCAGCCCTGGAAAAAAATCTATGGCAGCCCCATAAGTCATTGTGCTATGTAGTGTGTTATATAACACACACTACATAGCATATATACATCTCTCTCTCTCACACATATTTATTTTTCAATTCAAAATATTAGTCCTTTTAGGGTAATTAAATTATACAGTAAAGCATACTCACATGCAGACACAGACAATCTTACTGATGCACACAAATAGGCTCATTGACAGACAATCTCAATGACACACACAGGCAAGGTTACTGGTACACACACAAATTTAGTACAGACAAACTCTGATACACACACAAGCTTACTACAGACAAGCTCACTGCACACACATGCTCACCACAGACAGGAGCAGACACACCCATGCTCCCTACAAACAAGCTCACTGACACACATACAAGCTAACTCACTAGCAGGTGCACACACACAAGCTCACTCACTCACTAGCAGATGCGCACACACACACAGGCAGACATCTACACACACAGAGACAGCCACACACACACCAAAAACAACACACACACAGGCAGATATTTACACAGACACTGTCACACACAGGCAGACAGTCATACATACAGTGTCACACACACAGGCAGACAGTCATACATACACACAGAGGCAGTCACACACACAGTCATACATACACACACACACAGAGGCAGACAGTCATACATACACACACACACACAGGCAGATAGCCACACACTCACAGACAGACAGTCATACATACACACAGAGGCAGACATTCTCACACACACACACAGACAGTGTCACACACACAGGCAGACAGTCACACACACAGTGTCACACACAGATAGACAGTCACACACAGACAGTGTCACACACACAGGCAGACAGTCATACATACACACTCACAGGCAGTCACACACAGACACACTGACCTGCTTCTTACTTTCACATCCCTTGGAGCTCCTGGAGGCTTGTTGTTGGGGAAGCAGGGACTCCTTCCTGCTTCCCATGCTGCATTAACCAGGCCCCCCGCCGCACACTAGCTCCGCCCGCAAATATATATATATTTTTTTACGATCCCGGCCGACCATGTGTTAGCTGTGCCGGCCGCCTGGCTCCCCCTCCTCGCATGGGGTCCTGTGCGGCCGCACAGCTCACACATGGCCGGCCGGGATCACAGGAGCCTGAGCAATGATAAGGGCTGTCAGCCCAGCCCCAGGTGCCGCAGCCCACTGGGAAAATTCCCGGTATCCTGGTGGGCCAGTCTGGCCCTACCAAGAAACCAACCTGAGGTGGCATGCCTTGCTCCTTATTGCTTTGTTCCGGATGAGGAGCGCCCTCACAAAACTCATCGGTCTCTCTCCCCTTCTAAATCATGTACGGTTGACCACCACTGATTGTCCGAGGCCTTAAAGGGGATCTCAACCAAATAAGAGGAGAGATCACACACCAAGTAGTACACCGTGGATATACCACTCCAGAATCAAGCCTACCTCTGTTCCATGGGAAGTAACATTTGTTGGTCTTGACAACCCTTTGAAACTCCATTTTAAGAGAATAAAGATACTTGTTGGAAAAAATATCAACAGGTAGGTATTTTGATGGCCATAATAATGCCTGACCACCTGCCATCGATGGAAAGCTGAGGACCCCAAAAGGAGACCTTGTGAAACTGAAGAGAATCAGAAATACTCCTTACCCTGCAGCCCTCACATCTGGAAGCTGAGGTTCTGACGCACGGTTGAAGCTTCTTCAGGATTATCTTCTCATCCTGAGTGTGTGGTGATATTAATATTGAATAAATTACCACCTGTATTGAGGTAGCATGGGACAGGACTTATACATTAAACAATAAGTAAATGTGCCGTAAGAATAGGGATTGCATAAATGATGGGTATAACTATTGCTCCTATTGGAGTCATGTGGGTTGGGCAACCTATAGATCAGATACCCTACCTGTGAGTCTGCAGACAATAATGGCCACATCTAGTTGTGGTCCCGGCACTTGTAACTCCTTGAACCTGACACTATTTAATAGCTGCTAGCAGCTGAACAGGAAAAGCACCCAAGCGGCTTACACTCCTGGCAATCAGTCTCTAACAGCATACAGTAAATCCCCCCAAGAACGAGACAAAGCTCCGTGTTGAGGGTCAAGCAGTGAACAGGCAGAGCTGTGGGTTTATTGTTCTTATATACACATACTTACACATTAGTACCACCCACAGGGTTTTGGAAAACAACCAATAAACACGTACAATACATTCAGACACTCCCACACAAAATCCTCCCCTCTGCCTGTGATACAATTACCTTACACAATGGGTTATGTAATTATAACAGCCAGAGAAATACAGTTTTTCCACATTATTCATAACTTGAAAAGTATGCATCACATTCACATAACTTACATTTTCAGAATCAGCATACTCCAAATACAAACATATGTCAAAATCCTCCAAATTGGTCAATTGGTTCAAAAGATAGATCGAAGTCCTTTGTGACCAAATGAAGCATGGCTTTTCTGCCCAAAACCAGTTCCACAGAGTCTTCTATCCTGGAGATAATTGGGAAGTAATCCAATTATCTCCAAGGACAGAGGCAAAACTCCATTGAACACATGGCAGTAAAAAGACAGTAAAATACAATAAAATACACAAGGTTACATTTATTACATAAAATACCGACATGCAACATATCCCCAGATAGCTTAGGTCTGAGCACACATTATTACTGAATGGCATTCAGACCACACACATACAGTTCAATTGCTATGGAGCCAAAGTCTTTCCCATAGTCTTTCATTATATGAATGGGCTCCATGGCATAGCTATCTGG